GCAGGCCCTGTGGGACTCTCTGACACCCTGCAGTTTGCCTGGCAGGTATACCACTAAAGTGACAGCACTGTATATTGTGTTTCTGGCTAAGGATCTTAAGATTGTGGAACTTCATAGGCACTCAGTGACTTCAGGGATTGATAATGGGACACACAGCCTTTTACCACTAGGTCATTCAAAATCCAGGCCATGTTCATAGTGGCTGTAAATTAACCCATTTGTGGCTGTGTATGGTGGGCTAATCTCATTCTAGTCCCAAATGCACAAGTAACTCTTCGCAGTGGTATTTCTTCTTCAGTATCTTTAAGATTGAATGGCCCATAGATATAGAATTAATTTCTCGGCCACCAAAATGATTCCTCCTCCCAGAACAGAATTATTACACATTAAAGGTCAGTATAATGAAGCTTGCTTTTCCATTGCCTGTAATGTACTTCTGAATAAACAGAAGGGAGACTTATTTATCCCAGTTTGGAAATGAAATCAGTCTTCCAAGGTGCGTGAACACTCCCACCCTGATCTAGCAAATCACTAGGCACATGGGTGAAGTCCTGCATAATGTTAGGGGGTTTTCACACATGCTTGAAATTAAGTGTTTTCCTATTTAAGTCAGAGTGTACAGTGCTCTGACAGGTTGAGCCTGAGGTTTCCTCAAGCAATTTTTATAAAGTTTTGCAGTTAGTCTTCATATCATTAACTAAAATACAATTTGTTTTAAGTTTTTGTTAGCTTGGACGCTTATAAAGGATTACTTTTAACAAATTAAATTGACTGAGGATTGGTGGGTGGAATTTTGAATGGGACCTATATGCTAGCTTCTGGTGCTTTATGAATTAGTGTCCAGGTTGAAACTTGAAAGTTTGACTAAATATATGCTCATAATGTGAAAATATTAACTTGTTGCATATCAGGGGCAAGGAAGGAGACCAGTGGTGTTAGCTCCTCTGTGAAACCACAGTATTGAACTCTAGTAGTTTTGTTTTAAAATAGATATTTTAAGAAGCAATGTTTCATCAAAAGCAGGGAATATTGCTTTTAGAACAATTCTCAACTCGCATCTTTCTTTCATTAAACTTTTACTGAAATTTTTATATATTTTTGTAGCACTAATGTTTATTTTCAATTAAACAGATTGCTTGCTTAGAAAAAAATACTAGTACTTTTGAAAGAATAGATACATGACTTACTAATTTAAAAAAACAACAACTCTCTTCACTTCTGGCAGTACCAAGTTTTCAATATCATTGTGACTTACTTTTAAGATTGTGTGATTTATTGAGGCCTTTTAGGTATTTCAGTTTCTATTCAGTCTGGCAATGTATAAGATGTATTTTTTATAAGTTAACTGTAGTTATAAAAAATGTGAACCCTTCCCAGAATCATGACTGACCAGAAGGTAATAATTTGAGTACTGTATATTTTAACTGTTCTTAGGAGTAGTTTAAAAAAACCTAGATTTTCATTTATTGCTTGTTTAAAAAAATATTTATTGTATCCCTAAGCAAAGCTTAAAAACCTTTCCTCCTTTAAATTTCGTGAATGACCCAGCAAGAGCTCTAGTAAAGCTTTACTGAACCAAGCTGCTAATAGTTATTTGATGTTATTCTGCAGCCTGAAAGAATCTCAGTAGATTTTCTTTTTAATCTCCTTGAATTGCAGGCTCATAAACCTCTCTGATAAGCCTGCCAGTGTTTTCTTAGATCCTACAGTTGAGACAATGAATCTGCAGAATCCTTTTCACCTCTTGTCAGAAAAATGCGATAGAACACAAGGTCATGGGGCCTGTACTTCTAAAGACTTAATGATTGTTTTTCAAATAACCACAAAACCAGATCATCTTATTTTCTATCTGCATTCAGGAATGTATCTCAAAATATGCAGATCTAAACAACTTGATGAGTCAAATGTACCTAAGTATGTATTCAAGCATAAAAACCAGAGCTAAGCTTTATAGTTCCCCAGCCTATAAAAACCAGCTCTTGCCAAAACAACCAGTAGCTGTCTGTTGAGGGTTGTAGTATGCAAGCTGAAGTACATACAGTTAAGAAGGACACACAGCTATTGATAAGTAACAGATTCAGTAGATATTTCAAGATAACTAATTTTGTAGACAAATTTGCTAACTCATATCAGGCTTCACTTTCTATAAAGACTGACCAAGTCCAAAGAACAAATTATGCTATGTTTAAAACATTTTAGATTAGATAACAGGGAAATTGAGAGATTAAATTAGCATTTAAATTTGAAAAAAGTTTACGGTTAGAAGTACATAAGCAAAGAATTGTAGCATGAAAAATAAAATGGACACTGTGTGTGTGTGTGTGTGTGTGTGTGTGTGTGTGTGTGTGTATTGTTCTTGAAGGTTTTATGTAGAGACCCAAGTTCTTAAAAAAAAATTTTTTCAAAAATAATCTAACAGATTACCCAATCATTATTAAAGCATATTATGAATGACTTGTAATGATTTGAAAAATGTATCAAATTATTCTCTGCTGTAACTCTATTGACTTCAGTAGAGTGACACGGAGGATTAATTTGGCCCAGGTGTGTGTGTGTGTGTTTTTTTTTTTTTTTTTTTTTAAGTTACAATTGCAATAGTAAATAGGAAAAGCACAGTTGAAATTAAAACATTTGGCTCCATCCTTTAGGGTATGTGAGCTAGATGGACTGCTACTAACCTGATGTTGTCTGTCTCCCTCCCATTACCAAAGTTAACAGTGTGGTAGGAAACAAGGCGGAGTTGTGAAAGAAACACTGCTACCGTCACATCACTGTTTCTCCCTTGGGTGTTTGTCCCATTCATTCTTGTGTGTTGAAATCCTCTTGATGGACGCACATATGCCCTTTCTCTCCCTTGTGCATTTTTACCTGTGAAATGCTATCTCCAAGCACTTACCTGTTTCTATGAGAAACTTGTCCTGAGCTAGAGCACACCTTGGTAAAACCTGTGAAGGGTGGCCTGTTTTTTCAGCTGAATTTATACCTTCTCCTTCAAGGGATCTGGGAAATAGTGGACCCTCCACAGCCTCAAGTACTTTTTTCCTGCCATCTGCCTGCTCACTGTGCTGCAGAGGGGAATGTGGACCTTCCCTCCCCTCTGAAATGTCTCATCTTACCTCACAAGTTTTCCTTTCTCTTGCCCCACTTCTGAAAAGAGGCGGCTGCATAGTGAAAGTATCATCATGTTCCGTGAAAGAGGAGAAGCAGAAAGTAGATGGGTGGTCTTGTCTCTCAAGTCATTACAGCAGGGACCAGGAGAGAAGAGCCTGGTGGAGACTTTTTCTTTTTGATGCTGCTAGAAATATTCATGGTTGCCAGTGTAATAAATGCTTTGACTAACGTCTGTAAGTCAGCTTGAGCAGAACTCATGTAACATTAAAATATACTTAATGTTAATTAAGAACATACTGAATTTTCATTTTATGTTGGACACATTTTAGACACAAGAATTTTTGAGTAGGCAGAAGAAAATGAACAAAGGAATGCTCAGTGCAATTGTGTGTGATTTTAGTTCTAGCTAAAAGAAAAAATGGTTACTTACCTCTCGTAACTGTTGTTCTGCGAGATGTGTTGCTCATGCCCATTTGAATGAGGTGGGTGTGCGCCATGTGCATGGATTCTGGAGTTTTTTTTCCCCAGCAGTACTTGTTGGGCCAGCCAGGGAGCCCCCTGGAGTGGCGCCTCTATATTGGCGCATATATACCCCTGCTGGCCCTCTCTGCTCTGTTCCTTCTTGCCAGAACTCTCCGAAGGGGAGGTGGGTGGAATTTCGATTGGACATGAAAAACAGATCTCCAAGAACAAGAGTTACGAGAGGTAAGTAACCATTTTTTCTTCTTTGAGTGCTTGCTCATGTCCATTCTACTGAGGTGACTCCCTAGCTAAAACCTAGGAGGTGGGGTCAGAGAATAGTGACTCCTCTAATCAATAATGGATTACAACACCACCTTAACTAAGAGCTGCATCATCCCAGGCCTGCTGAGCGATGGCGTAATGGCTTGTGAAAGTGTGCATGGAGGACCACATGCTACAATTATTTGCTTGTGTACTTCTAACAGTAAACTTTTTTCAAACTTAAATACTAATTTAATCTCTCTGTTTCCCTCTTATTCAATCTAAAATGTTTTAAATATAGCATAATTTGATCTTTGGACTTGGTCAGTCTTTGTAGGAAGTGAGGGAGTCACCAGGTCCTGCACCCCCATCCGCAGCCGGACATGACTCAACCAGCAAGTACAACAGGTTTATTGGTTCACAGGATATGGCATAGCACAGGATTGATGTTAACACAGGGACCAAGAGCATTCTCCCCCTTTTCCTGCTCTAAGCCCCTTCTCTCATCCTAACCCAGCCGAGATTGATTCATCCCCCAAGTCCTAGTCCCCAGCCTGTTGTCAGCCCCGCCTAACCTTTGTTCCCCTTTCTGGGCAGGAATGATCTCCTATGTCTGGCCCTCGGTGTGAGAGGCAAAATACACTTCTGTCTGAGTCATCCTCCTTCCTGCAGACTATGCTGCAGTGCTCAGGACAATAGGAACCACACAGCTCACAAAGCAACACAGCAATACAGTCCCCATTACATCACATCTAGCATTTCAGCGGCATGAACGTAACTATATCGAAGTTATTCTGGGCATTTTTATCGTGTTTGTCATAATGGTATCTGAACTTTTTAACAATGAAAGCTTGCCCATTTAACACCCCTCCCCATCCTTTGGGGGTGAGTAGATGACCTATTTAAATCAGTATCCTGCCTTTCAATATTTTCTTAAGCTTTTGCAAGCATCTTTGGGGGATTGTGAGGCACTCCCAGCCTTATAACAGAGACATGGGTGCCAAACCCATTCCAGAGAAATGCCTCATTGACTATATTCATCATGGGTAGAACTTCTAGTGACTTAAGTAGTGATCTGTTTATACAAGGGACTACCAGGTAAGAAACACAATAGTTCTGTCTCTTCAAATTCTCAGAACTGAACAGGTATAACTATTTTCTTTTAGAAGATGATCTAATGCAAACATGGCCAGTGGATGCTCAAATTTGTCTTGACAACATGTCCTGGAATAAAGGTATGAATGTTTCCCCTTTTTTATATGGAGAGGGGAGGAATGGAATGTCTTGGCTAGAGTCAATCTGGCTGCTTCCACAGGGCAGGCTACACTACCACTTAGGTCATTTTAACTTATTTAGTTTAGGGATTAAAAAAGCTCCCTCCCCTCGAGTGATACAAGTTTGCACATAGGGGCTGTGTCATCCAGAGAACAATCTCCCATCAGCACAGAGCTTCTTCACCAGATGGGTTACAGTGATGCAGATATGCCGATGTAATGCTATAGTAGACATGCCCTCAGTCTGAGCCTCTTGGCTTTTTAATGTCCCTTGACTGTGATGACTGGAAATATTTGCTAAGTTTTTTTTATGTCTGATTTGATATATTGTTCTGATTTATTTAAACTTTGTTTGTTGCTTGGCTTTCCCTTTCAAATTTACTTTAGTCTTTTTTTTTTCGTTGGTTTTGCTGATATGACTAAGGGTACATCTAGACTATGTTTTACTTTTGAAAGAAGATATGCAAATTCGGCAGCATCCGATTGCTTTTTTGAAAGAGGTTTTTTTCAAACAAGCAAGTAGTCTAGATGTGGTTCTTTTAAAAAAAACCAACAAACTTTTTTCGAAAGAACCATTCTTCTTCAAAAAATGAGGTTTACAGGTTCTTTCGAAAAAAGTTTGTTGGTTTTTTTTAAAAGAACTGCATCTAGACTGCTTGCTCTTTCGACAAAGTGATCAGAAGAAAACATGCAAATTCTACGGGAATTTGTGTATCTTCTTTTGAAAGTAAAACATAGTCTAGATGTACTCTTAATGAATAGAACAGCAAAAATTAAATAATTTCCCACCTTTTATGTTTTCTTATCAGTCTTATCCTCTCATATCTTTATAAATTATGCAAATACCCATCCTCAGTGCTGCTGGATATAGATTTGGAATTGCTGCTTGACTTTCTATGCTAGTCAGCACTTTTGCACTTTCTCTAGTGTTTTGCGCTCTCTTTCTTAGAGGAGTAAGTGGGTTTGCTACATTTCTCTAATTATAATTTGGATTTTTTTAAATCACATGACTTCTTTAAAATAATCATGGGCACTGTAATCTGGCCTCCCATCTTTCCTCTGCTTTATGCTTCTCTCTCCTGCAGCCTAACTTCAGAACTGTTTTTTAATCTTCATAACCAGCATTACTGAAGCTAACTGTCAATCTCAGAAAATTGTATTTACATCCCATCTGTTCTCACATAAGTGATTTCCTAACTTCTCCACTAGTTTTGGCACTTTGTCAGAATTCAGTACTGATTCTTTGCAGATTTGAGCCCTAGTTTATTGGAGGATACACTTTTAAAAACAAAATCTTTATTTTGTGTACTAAAACGATTCCTTCTTTGCTTGGCACAGAGTGCCATATAGTCCATGAAATACTACCCTTTTATGTTACAGCTATAGCAGGAACTGCTGTATTCAGAGTCTACCTTAAAGGTCCTTTAGAAACTCTGCAGAATTATATCTTCCATTATCAGTTCAATAGTAAGATTGCATATCTTTTCAATGATTGCTTCAAACAATTTGTGCTCAAGTACTAAGTTTTTAAATGGCTTGTTTCAACAGATGAACAGTGTTATACATGCTCATGCCGATGTGGTGGAAAATATACGGTCTCCAGAAATGAAGCTGAAGAGGTTACCTTGGTTTACTGTGACACATGTTCATTAATTATAGAGATCCTTCGATGAAGTATCAATAGTCTCACCTGCACATGTTGGTTTCATCCAGCTGAATATTGGTGGACAGTATTTGTTAACAAATGTGTCAGGGGAAAGGTGTGCATTACAAATGCTAGCAGGGCTGAAAAGGGGGGCTTAAATCTCTTTTCAAGTTTTAACCAGAAAACCAAAGTTATGTACAAAAAAGCTTTTTGTGCTCCAGTTTCTGTACTTGAACTAAGGATATTAAATATCGAGTAATCAACTAGTCGATGGAAATTCCATGAACTACTCGACTAGTTGATAGGGCACTTCCACATTCCTCCTTTGAAATGGACAAGAGTCAGGTGACAAGTTACCTTTATAGACACTTGAAGTATTCTTTGGGGAAAAAATGGTTACACTGTGATTTGAAGAGAGTGTAGATAAGCCTATGTGTTAAAATGAGGAAAGGTAAAATTCCTAGGAAGCAACTACTGTGCAAAACAGTGGTCCTGTGCCTTCTTTGAAAATGGTCTAAACTTTTCAAGCAGTCTTACATTAGGCATATGCAACTGAATTAAGCAGCTTATATGCATAAAGATGCTAGCTTTTTCCTACGTGTCAAGAGTTAGCAGACTCCAGTAGTGAAGATCAGAGGCATGTTTAATACCCCCCATATTAAGAACTGTGTATCTGCAAATGTGCTGTTTAAAGTGTTGCTACGTACAAAGTGGTTTTGCCACCTCAAGAATTTGCATGGTGACGTGTCCAAGAAACAGTTTTGCAGTCGTTATTTTGTACAAGTCATTTGGACTTTTAACTATATTTGGAATATCTTACTAATAGAATCTTAGGGCTAGATCCACAATAAGATTGTCACAAAGTCAAAAATGTAGGTCCTCAAAGCCTCTGCTTAGCTGCTTCCTAATCCTGTATGAGGCTAAAATCTCTAGGTGCCTAAATTGCTGGTGGCGAAATCCCCAAGGTGTCTGTTTCTATGAGTGAGCACGTACAAAGCCACCAGGATCTGATCAGGTAGATGTTCTCAGAGGCTGCCTAATAACATGCCTATTGGATCAGATGCCACATGAAACAGGGTTAGAGAGGCAGTATCCCAATAGCCAGTGCTTGAACTCTCACTTGGAATGAGGGTGAGTTCAGGTCCTCGCTGTGCCTGATCTGAAACAAGGACTTGAATCCAGGGCTTCCACATTCTAGTTGAGTACCCTAGTCACTAGGTTAAAGTGTTTTGTGGAGTGAGTCTCTTGATGCTGTTCTTAGTTTCTACTCCCTGTACCAATGACTCAGCCTCCCTGATGAATGTCCTAACCACTGAACTATAAAGTCACTCTCTTTTGCTGTCCCTGTTAATAATGATCACCATTACCACTTATTTTTTTTGTGAGAAAGGGCTGACCTGGCTTAAAGGTCTAACTCTAGGGAGAGTTTATGGCTGTGAATCGTTAGTGAAGATGAGTGTCCAGCTGCTCTTGAAGGGCAGGGTAGCTCATATGTATATGTTTTGAGGAATGTTATTAAAAATTACTGGAGCGGCAACAAAGTCAACATGTTTAAAAACTTTGTGTTGGCTTTTGACTCACTCAGTATATTGGTCAGCATTATGGCTACTGCCCCACTGGGATGGGGTACTTAAGGGAGAGAAATTGTAACATGGTACATTTAACTGTGTGAGGATCAATGGTTGTATTTTAGACTGATTTTTTTCAATAAAATCAGGCATACCACAGTGTGTTCGCATCTCCGCATTATTATTTAATGTTCTAATAGATTATCTGATGAAAAAGCTGACTGAGGACAATATAGAATGTGTGAATTTTAATGATTAATTTTTTGAGACTCTTAAGTGCATGAATGATATAGTCTCGCCAGGTAAAACCATAACTGCAGAATCTGTGAAACTTCAGATTAATGGTTATAAAATGGAAAGCCATGCTACCTTCTGTAAAATGGAAATAAATGATCTTCTGATGCTGCATGTAGATGTCAATGGCATTGAATGAGTGAATAGTTCTATCCTATTGGGTAGTCAGTTGACAGCAGGAAGTGCTGTTATCCAAAGAAATCATATGGTAGATTTGTTTTGTGTTAATGGAATCTCACTGTCTTCAGAGCCCTTGTTTTGGGCACCATTAGTATGTCTGTGTTACAACTAAGACTTCAATGCAGTAGTGATGACAACTGTATTGTGTGGAGGAAAAACGTGGCCATTAAAAATTGCGGAGAGAATACTAAATTGGTTTTAGTATAAAAAAAAGGCTACAGCATGATGATGCTGGCGAGTTGCAACAGTTGAGAACAATGTAACTGCAATGGTGGGATCATATTCAATATAAAGGTTAACAGACCTGAAGTTGAAGAAAACCGAACATGAAGCCAATCATGAATGAAGTTGGAAGATATTGTTTTGAGGGATTTAATAAGCCTGAATTTACCCATCTTGACTCTTCCTGAACGAAGACTTGCAAGGGACCATTCAAGAGGGAATTCCATTCTACATGTTACCATGGCTCCATCACAGCCATGTCAATCTGCTTCTGCTTATACCCCATCACTCTTAGTATTTTTTCTGCTTAACTTGGGTAGCCCCCTGACGCAACTTGTATTAATCTTGTTCTTAGCTGTTTAACTCTCCCCATGCATTATACAGGGAGACTGAATGCCTAAAATCAGGTATTGTGATGCTGAGCCAAAATCTCCTATGTGAGTCTAGCCCTTAGACCAGGGGTCTCCAAACTTTTCTGCCCGAGGGCCGCATTAACTATCAAACAGCAGTTCGGGGGCCGACTACACACTTGAGGTCCAAATAAAAAACAATCAAAACATGGATGTTGTTTTTAATTATTTATTTAATATTATTTTATTCAGTTATTTAATAACACATTGATACACTACACATGAACACCTGTATTAGTGTGAATGGTGAAATTGTTTCCTGGATGCCAAAATAGAGCCCAGCCCACTAGTGACCTCATGAGAGAGCTAGCCAATAGGATAAGAACGCACTGGCCAATAGGGAGCAATTGTCCACGCCAAGTCCCAACCCCTCTTGCTGTGAGGGACGCGCAGAGCCCGGGCTCGGCCGTCGGTCCGCAGGGCGTGTGGCCGTCCGTTGGCGGCTCCGATCCCCCGCACCCCCGGCCGGGGAGTCTCGCTGCCCAGGGCAAGGGCTGCGCGGGTCCAGAGTCCCTCCTCCGTCCCGCTGGCTCCTCAGGCTTCCCTCTCCTGGCTGCCTGCCCAAAAGAAAGTGAGTGCCGGTCGCCCCTGTCCTTCCGGCCCCTCCCCCTTTTGAGCCGGCACGCACGGGGCGTGCCGCTCACCCTGGCGTCCCTGCCCCTTCTCCTCCTGGGTCCTGCCGCCTTCCTCGCCTGCCGCGCCTGCGGCTGTGCGCCCTCGCTCCCCTCCCCGTGGGCTTTCCCCTGGGCTCCGCTGCGCTGCGCTACTCGGTGCTTCTCCGGGGGAGGGGCTGTCAGTGTGGGGAGTTTCTTCCCCGTCACAGTCTCCACGGGCCGGATGAGAGGGCCTCGGCCCGCGGGCCGTAGTTTGGAGACCCCTGCCTTAGACTATAAGACCCTTTTTTGGGTTGTAAATGGACTCACCATGAATGGTTAAAGAACGATGAATAACTTATCCTGTAATTACAAAGGTATTTAATTTCCATAACTAACTTCAGCATATTTTTTTTTTATTCTGGATATTGTTAAAATGAGACAAACTCCAAAATTGTGATATCTGAGTCTCAATCTTTAATTTTTTTGTAAATAAAAGTACATTGTTTCAATCAGTAAAAAAAAATCTATTAAAGCATTAGAAGACTAATAAGTAAACTGACAGAAGTAACTTATTAGTTCACTCAATCATCCAAAAATCTGTGACCATTAGGGCTAGCACGCAGAAATCCAAAATCATTCAGAGGCCATATCTGTAAAAGGAAATGTAGTAGAAGTTAATTGATCACATCTCTAATTTCAGAACAATATACATCCATTTATCCAGATGGTGCGAGGAATAGCAAAGTTTCAGGTAACTGACTGAATAAACAGTGCTATTTTGTGCTTCAGTTTCACTGATGGAGAAATCTGGGAAATTAAGGGATTACTGCTAATGTTTGCTTATTACTTCGTATGTATTTATAAAAAAGTAAAATAATCCAACTTTGAGTTCATTAAAACACCAAAAATGGACTGAAACTACTGTGGATAGAATTCTGAATTATCTTTTGTAAAAAACTGATTAATCATTCTGACACAAATTGTGAGCTGCTGAAATGGGATTACGTCTCAGTAACTTCCAGTATCTGTTCAGAACCACCATACAAATATAAAACCATTGATTACTAGTGGGTGGTTAACTGACATGGCTACATGGGGGGATGTGTGGCTTCAGATATCTACATTCATTTTTCTAATAATCTTAGTTAAGTGAAATATACAGCATTTCGAGACTTGCAGTCTTATATATCTTATGTCACCTTTTAATTCTATAGTTAATATAAGGATATTGTGATGGGAAGATTTTCTTTACTTTTCCATCTTTTTTTAATGTCCTCCATATTGGACAGTTTGTATTATAGTAGTAATAATAATTCTTCCTGCTGACTGGAGGAAGAAAAAAGTCTGACAAAGATTCCTCTGTGGAGAGCCCCGAATGACTGCTTCCAAAGCTGAAAATAGATTTACTCAATATTGTTGCACAAGTCACCTATCTTGGACATATGAACCTCATAACACAGCCTTAGGAAGCAAAATCCTTTATATAAAGATGGGACAGCGGAGAGAAGCAGCTTCACTTCTCAGACAAATGAATCCACTCTAGTTGGGCCAGACTGTTGCACACTTGAGTATTAGAAAATTCACAGGTAAAAAGTTTTCCTCTGACCATATCCAACCATACACCCTTGTGTATGACAGCCTGTACTGTGGGATGGGGAAAGCATACTCAGCGGGGGGGAGGCGGAGGGGAAGAGATGCACATTGTTTACATGGGAACTGATCTTGAGTTAGTGCTGCGGCAGTACATTCTGAAATACTCTTAAAGAAGAGAATTCAATGTTGTAATGTTTCATGAAGAGGTGCACTGATGTCCACATCGTTGCCTTTCAGTTTTCACATTAGGCACTTTCTGAACAAGTTGCGGAGCTCCTTGGAGTAAGCTGTGAATTTATCCAGTGAATTTGCTCCAGATGCTCCATAGGCTTCTTTAACACGCTTTGCTCCTTTTTTTTAGTAGCGGTTTTAAAGGCCTGCCTTTTAGCTGAAAAGCAGGGTGGATTAAAAAAAAATTTTTTTTAAACCAAAATAGGATTTTTAAAATTTAAATCAGACCTTTATCTTCACTTGGCAGAGAGTAAATCTTGAGTCAGTCTAAATAGATTTTCTAAGGTGCCACAGGACTACTCATTTTTAAACCACTTTTATGTAGAAAACCATGATTAAATCAAGGCTTCCTGACTACTGATTTAAATCATGATTAATTCAATATGTTTTAAATCAGTTCCACCCTGCTGAAGAGTGTTCTAAATGCTGTGAGCCTCCAGTAAGTTTCCATGTTCTTGATTTAGAGTAATTTGCTTCATCCCTTTCATGCCATTTAGTCTTGTTGGGAAGCCTAGGACTAGAGTGGAAAGAGAAGTTAGTTCTTGTGACCTGCAAAAAAGTGTTTGCTTCTGGAAAAAATTGAGTGCATCCAAAGAATCATTTTGTCTTGATGGAAAATGCATAGACAATGTTGAGTTCTAATAATCCCCTTTTAGCTGAGGTTACTGCTACTGAGACCCATTTTGAGAGAGATAAAGTAGGCCAAAATAGAAAGTAGTGATTCAAATGTTTTTGTTAAAGCCCTACCATAGGTGGTGCCAATTAGAAATCTTTTATTCCTTATCATTCAAGATACTTGCTAGGACAGTGGTCTGTATTGCGATTGATACCCTTAGCCCATCTATCCTTTAGGATCGCTGAGATCCATTACTTTGGTTGTCTTAGTATTAATGTGTGTCTCTGTAGCATTAGTATAAGAATTTGGGGAAAGTAATTGCATACTTTGTCAACAGACACTTGGTCATGCCAGTAGAGGTACAGGAGGAAAGTTGTAATGTAGGCCTTATGGTCTTTGAGACAGAGCACTAATGGCTTCCCCTTCTGGTTCTTTTCTCTTGCTCTGGTCTCCTTGGTTATCTCTTCAATTTTCCCCTCAATGTGAAGAGGCCTGTGCTTAAACCTCTAACTTTCTTTACATCACCTGAACCATTTAAGGATTTCCCCCTTTCAATCCAGGCCCATCCTGAGTCAGCCTGCTATTGCTTTCTCTCCCCTTTATAATGGGAGGTTTTCAGAGAGATGATTAGGAGGATATTCTGTTCAAGTAAGTAGATTAGCTGCTGCTTTGTGGAGAGACAAAGATTTCCTTTGTTGGTCAACACAGGCATGGGCAGTGGGTATGGCAGGGCAGGCTCAGCTCAGATGTGGGAAGTTTGCTTATGAGCCATGCACATTGCACGGTGGCTGAGGAGCCAATATTTGCTACTCAGCTTCCTGGGTTCATCAGAAATCTTCCTAGACAGAGGTCATTGTAATGGTGCCTGGATGCTGCTGCTGATGCCTGTAGCTCTAGCTACTTCATATCCCTCTTCTCCAAAAAGAACCACGATCCCTTGAGGTTAACTGGTATAATTGGTAATTGTGAATCTATGATTGTGAACCAGTACTCCTGTTGGGAATCACAAAGGCTGAATCCATCATTTGAAGGAGGAAGTGACTGACCTTAGATCAATATTTTTTCAGATTCTGATTAGTTGCAATTTTTTCCAATATGGTAGGAGTAATTTTAAACATCTTCTTTATATCCAGGATAATTCCTAATAGCAGATTGGCATTTAGGAATGATACTGGAAATATGTATCCTCATAGCACCTCTTTGAGGTAATAAGGTACTATATCACAGATGGGAACTATGGCATGAAGACTTTCTCAGGATGATACAGGAAGTCTGCAGTAGCAGCAGGCTGCTTCCGGAGTCCCAGATGAATGCCCTACCCACTAAGCAATTATTAGCATGGAGGTCAGGGTGATTTAGATGCAGGCCATTTGCTAAGAGAGAATATTAGCAAGATCAGGCCTGTTACACATAGTTGAATGTTTCTGTAGGCCAAGTCTTGAGGTGGTTGAAAGGGCCTTTATGTTCACAGAAACCCATCAGCCAGTAAGCAGGTTACAGTCTCCCCTAGATCCAGAAGGACAATCTGATAGGTCAAGGACCTGATGAAATCATCTGAGTGGGAATACGTGTGTATCCTTCTCTTTCTGACAATGGCTGCTCTCCCACCAAGCTCTGTGTGATGACCTGTGGGGTAGTCACTAATCCAAATTGGAGAGCCCTGTCCTGAAAATGCTTCCCATTGTAACAGTGCACACATTTTCAGTCGAGTTCCTTGCCTGGCAAATGAAGATAAGCCTCTTCGAAGACTGTTGAAGTCATGAAATCTTGCATGACAGAGCTGCAATTAGACTTCAGGATTTCTATCCAAAAACTTATGATGGGTCTTGTGTTCCTATTTTCTTTGGGGCAAAAAAAATAAAGTACACACCAAAAAAAGTCTGTCTCTCTGATTCTTATTCTATGGCTCAAATGCTGAAAAAACCCTCAGGTCATCTGAAGAAGTGGGTTGTGCCCACGAAAACTTATGATACCATCTATATGTTTTGTTAGTCTCTAAAGTGCTGCCAGACTATTTGTTGTTTTTTAAGTTTATCCTGTACAGACTAACTTAGCTACCCCCTGAAGCTTCTTTAGTATTTATTTGTTCTCCATACTGGGACAGACTAGCAACTTGTCTGAGGAATGTTATAAGTTCAATAGCATAACCCTGTAGAACTGTCCTTGATGTAGGAGTCGTCTTTACACTTATGAAGCCTCTTCTCCCCCATCCCCTTTCCATCTAAAAAAAAAAAGAGGTAGTGTTGGATGTGGGATGTAGAATCAGACAATTTATGATTTGATGTGGGTATTCCAGAAGGCAACTCAGGTTTCTTGATCTCTTGAAATAGGACTTTCTCCCTCTTCCAGATATTAAGTCTCTGTGGACTTTTTATGGGCTGGTAACCATAAACCAAAGACATGCGCCAAAGAGAAGGAAGAGACTTTCCTTACCTGCTTCTGCTACAGTTTTTCCCCCCTCCTATGTCCTCACCAAACACCTTGCCCCTTAAATACTTGACTGAGACTCAGGTGTTTTACTTGTGTATTTTCTTTCAGGAGAGAGATCCAGAGTATCACCAGATTAGAGGCCATGGAGGCAAATGTGAATCTAAGGTAAAACCATTTGCTACAAAATAAGCTGTTAGCTCTTATTTGTATTTGCTTTCAGTTCAAACTTGCCTTTTTTTATATCTTGATCCTGACCTGACTGCATCATACTCAACTCACCCGTGGCTTTGCCTCGGAGGCAGTTAGTGTCTTTTACTAAAAAAGTTGCTGCTGTACCCAAATTTGGTAGGACTAAATTTTCTTGTCTTTGGATAAATAGAACAGAACCTCTGCATTTTGTATCTAGAATACTTAGCTTTGCTAGGGAATCCATTAAACCTTGATTGTTTCTTCAAAACATTGAGGATAATAGAATACATAATTCTTTCTTTGCTTTAGTTGGAAAATAGTTCTGGGATGTTTTTCGGTTTTCTTTCTGGGAGTGGTGGCTCCTGGATTGTTTCATGGAGTGAGAGTAGAATAAGTAGAAACTATTTATACCTCCTTTTTATTAGTTTTGATCTCCTAGACTTTAAGATCAGAAGAGACCATTTTGATCATCTAGTCTGACCCCCTGCACGATGCAGGCCACAGAATCTCACCCACCCACTGCTAGAATAATCCTCTCACCTATATCTCAGATATTGAAGTCCTTGAAACAATGGTTTAAAGACCCCAAGATGCAGAAAATCCTCCCACTAGTGACCCGTGCCCCATACTACAGAGGAAGGCAAAAAACCTCCAGGGCCTCTGCCAATCTACCCTGGAGGAAAATTCCTTCCTGACCCCAAATATGATCTCTTCAGTTCAATATTGCAGCTTTTTTCTTAATGAGTGATGAGAAGAAACAGTCCTTCCTTCATGTTCTTCTGAGAACCTCAGTCCTTGCAGGAGGACCTTAACCTTCACTTGGCAGAGGGCAAATCTTGAGTCAGTCTAAAGGGAGGAACACTTTTAAAACTAATACAAAAAAGTGCAGATTTAATGGTCTTCTGTTTATCAAGTGTTAGCCACTTTTGGGGGGTGGGTAGATAGTGTGAATGTGGCAGCATGGGCCTATATTATCCCTCAACCCTGAGCGGAGCTGGAGAGACATTCAGAAAGATCCCACTTAACTTCTTCCTAGTAACTTGGAGCTTTGGGATATGATAGAGGGATCTTTCTACTTCCTGGAGCAAAAAAGGTACTAAGAATGAAGCTTGTCTTTCACTCCATATTAAAAGTTAAGCCACTTAATTATTTCTGTTGGCACCCTGGTGGTGGAGAGACAATAGTCACCATGGAACTACTACTGAGGAAGGTAGCATTACCCTCTGAATTGTCTGTGCTGGGACTGAAGACACTAAAGGAGGCAAAATGCTCATTTGCTGAAGCAAGACTGCTGCTGACTCCTAGGCTACTGCAACTACTGTTCCTTTGGGATACTCCAGAGCCATTATGAGACCTTCAATACTGCCTCTGGTGAATAGGTCTTCCATGGGTTCATTTCCATGGTTGGTATAGATCTGGTCCTCACACTGACACAGGGGACTCTGGTTTGTTCCTAGACCTCAATGTTGCTGTTTGGAGCCTCTGTAAACTTCTCCACAGCTTAGCCAGTACAGTTCTAAATGTCCCTGAACAGAAAAGAGCAAGCCTTGAAGGGCAGCTGTAGTTTTCTCTTTCATATGCCATGAACCCTCTCTCCATCTTTGGAAAGTAAATATGCAAGTAAAACACATGATCTCAGCAAAATATTGAGGCAAGATGTTTGGTGAGGACGGGATAACTGTAGAAGCAGCTGAGAAGAAAGTCTCTTTTGTGCCATTGACTTGAGGAGAGCTATAGCCCTTTTCTTCCATGCATGTCTTCAGTTTATGGTTACCAGCCCACAATAAATCTAGACACTTCATATCTGGAACAACAACTGTTCCAATTTCAACAGATAAAGAAATAGGTTTGCTCCATCAGTAATCTTCCCTCCTCAGAGGGCCTGAGGCAATCTGGCCCAAATTCCTTTGCCAAGAGTTTTATTTTTTAATTATTTAAATCAGTTTTCCATGAATCTCCAGTTAGTTTAATTCAGATGATTTTGGTAGTCCTAACCTGAAAAACTTGGATCCAAAAGAGAGGCCTTTGGTTTGTCTTCTAACCAGGACTGAGGCAAAGAAGTCTGGGGTTCTCCATAGCAAGGCACTTCAAGTGCTAAGCTGGCTGTTGATCTTTGCTTTGCCTTGAGCCACCAGAGAGAGGTGGAACTTCGCACTATAACCTCTCTGACATAGAAGCTCGGTGACTTTACACCAATCATGATTGCTCAAGATTTGCCGAATTTTTTTTAAGCTATAACAGCTTAGTTTTGTTCATTCTTAAAAGTAAAAAAGAAATGTTCTTCTAATGACTACACTATAGTGTTATGCAGATTACTATACGCTGATTTATAGCTACATCACTGTTACAAATCTATAGACATACTATGTTTTGAAGTATAAATTCACCCTTGCTTGTTACACACCATATGCTTTATTCTCATCAGCAGAACATAAATAATTATCAGTTGGCAAAAGGCCACCTCAGACTAGAAAACATAATAGTAAGTGGCAGTTCTCCAATATTGGAGATTTTTCAGTAAGATGCACTAGATTCTTACTAATTTAATGGATTTATTAGCTACACACATTTTAAGTGGGTGATGTACTAAATAGTGTTGTATTTTTACAGACATGAATCAAACTAAGCCACAACCAGGACAACTTATCCTTTTTGGGTATTTGTCTATCACAGAATCATCACATTGTTTAGAGTACTCATTATTCTTTGCTCTAGAAATTCATATTAAGACAAAGATCAGGGATGGAACAGTGAGAATTTGTAATGTGCCAAGGAGACACTGTTGGGAAATGTTTTAATAACCCATAAAGAACAGAGGTCAGACAAAGCTGAGGGGGGAAATGTTATTTCAGGTTTAGTAAGCAATTACTGATCATGTTCAGTAGTTTCAAGGTTCTCTGAAAAGTCAAAATGCACTCCTAATAATTCTAAGATGCATTAATGTAAAATACAAAAATATTTTTACGATAGCTGTGTCCTTTCTGGGCACACATGCAGTATGTAGTGGTTTTTATGATGTGTGGTAAATAGTTACCAGCAACCTTTCACTTGTCCACAGCAGAGTATAAACCTAGTTTTCTGATACCTTCTGCATGAACCTACTGAGTTGTACCAGCTTGCTCCCCAGAGTAATTGTTAAAAAGAGAAAATACTAGCTCCTTATTTTTGATAAGTGATTAAATACAGTGGTGTACTGATTCATAATACAGACAAATAATATGGAACTATAATAATAGGAAATATGGTTATAGGACTATTAAAGCATTAAAAGTAGGTTACATGTTGTTGCATATAGGCTTAACAAAACATTTAACAAGAAACTTGATTCTTCTCGGGCAGTGAAGGGTAGATAATTATGGTAGACCTCTCATGAGTTAAACTGAAATCTCTCAGCCAACTTTAATAAGTATAGTTAGGATGCTATAGGCCAGGCAGTGAATCTAGAGTTAAGGATCTAAAGTAACTGAATATGGAAAAGAAAACCTCCTGCTCAGTCTCTGTTCTTTGCAATATGGAACTATATCTCATATTTTGTTTAAAATTATATAAAATAGCTAAACACAAAACTATAGTGTTGACACAGCCTTAATGATGATGATCGTTTAAAGTGTACACTTTCAAGTGAAATTGTTTGTCTCTGCCCCAAAATTATGGAGAGCCTTTTCTTGAAACAACCTGTTAGGATAAAAAGAACAGCTTGTTCGGATTTTCATCCCCATTTAGTTCAGCAAGGCCGCTAAGAATGTGAGTAGACTTCTGCTCAAATATCTTTTTAACAATGTTTGAAGTAACTTGTTTTAAGAGCCTATAGGTATACCTTGAAATAAATGCGTCCTCTTATCAGTCCATAAGGAACAGGTCCATAACACCTGGAATCTGTAGAATTCCTGAGATTATCTCCCTCTAACCAAACATGCCCTTTAGGGACCTATAGTTAGGGAGGATCAAAATACAACTTAAACAATGTAGAATAAGAATGTGTTTCTTTAAAGGCAATTCAATCCCCCAAGATATAACCTTTTAAAGACAACCCCTCTTGTGTTTTCTTGTCATGCCATGCATTAATACTTCTGCAATTTCTAAAACAGTGCTAGATTAGAAAAAATATATTTCCAAGTATCTGTGTTCTCACATGCTCCAGAAACACTAGTTTGCAACAAAAAATCCAAAATGAAGTTGTAAGAGGTTAGACCAGTATGACAGGGTCATTAATTTAATAGACTTCAAAAGAGGTCATTAGGATGTTGACTGAAAATCTGCCCTCCTGTCGCAGTAACAGCATGAACAGGGCAGCCACACACTCATCAACATCCTGGGGCCAGCACCAAGGCTAGACCTGTTAGTAGGCTCGTGATTATCTAAATAGTAATTGATTGTGACATCAATTACGAATAATCTCATCATTTTATCGGAGTGGGCTTGTCAAAGTTCTAATTAAGATCACAGTTCATTCTGTGTGCAGGCAGAATCCACAACACATTATATTGCAATAATGACCATCACAAAACAGCAAGTCTCTTTTTATAATTTGAAAGTTAATGATGGTGACCTTATACTATATGACAAAGACCTTTTATTACCTATACGTACTATGCATTAACTATATTACATGCCATAAATTCAGGACCTGGCTAGCTCAATGAAAACATGAGAAACAAACTCTCAGTTGCATTAGTAAATAAAATAACAGTTCAGAGCTTCATACATTTAATTTAGCATGAAAGAATTGATTAAAAATATACAGCATGCAATGCCTATGTCTGTAAGACAAAATACAATCACAGAACGTTTTACAACTTTAGATAAGGATAAGCTCTTAAAAGCAAAATTCTTAAATATTATATTTGATAGTTTATATGCCTAAGTTAAGTCTAGGGTAGACTTAACTTTCACAAATACCATAATACTTCCTACTAGCTACTAAGAAGTAGGAAAATAATCAAACATAGGCATTTAAATGTAATATGCAATCCCAAAATACCTGTGTTTAAGCAGCAAGCTATTCAGGACAACTTTAATACATTGTCAGAAAAACTAAAACCAGATGGATAAAACTTACCTACATCATAAATATATAATTTCAATTGCATATAACTAAACATTAAATTTGTAAATTATGATGGAAGGGTGATTATAATCCCTCAGGCAATGAAAGTTATGGAAAGTTTGAGAAGAAAATAGATACCTAAATTTTATACTAAAACAAGTACTGTCACAGAACTATATAAACAAAATCTGAGTAAGTAATGTAATTTGACTACCAGAGGTACCTATTCAGGTCAGACAAACTGGATGAAAACCAGCAAGAATAGAAACAGACTAATCTGGAAAATATCTGGGGAGGATGAACGATATGAAACATTGTTACACAGGTAAGTACATAAAAAGGACTTAGGCTCAAAGGTGCAGTGGCTAATATTTGAGGTGCCCAGGGGAATTTACAGACCCAAATTAGGCATCTTGTAACATACGTGTGAAAGGCTTGGAACCAGAAAGCTGAGTGGGGACCTGCCTAAACTGGCCAATAAGAAATACCAATAAGGCAGTGCTCCCAGAGAGACTTGGGTATCTAGATCAAGACAAGAGGAAGGTACCTATCTTTGCTTGAGATTCATATCTATGAACCTGTTCCCACAGTGAGATGCCTAAGCCACGTCAGCTCTTGTGAGAACTAAAGGTTGTTGCTAGTAATGTCCAATTACACCCAATAGCCCAACAATTAGACCACTCACTCTGGTTCAAATCCCCACTCTGCTTGATCTGGAGCAAGGATGTGAACCACTGAGCTAGAAGGTATTCTGGGGCAGGTGTGTCATGTTCTAACTATTCTATTCAGTGTGAAATACTTAAATATTCTTTGAATCAGGGACTGGTATCTGGGTCTTCCAGATGACTGCAGTAACCAGTAACACTCTCTCAATGAGTATTTAAGTAGTTTATAAAAAGAGGCACAGCTCAAACCAAATTCATTTACACTTGATTAAAAAGAAAAAAAAAACATTGTGAAATCTAATGAAATATGCCTATGGGGCAGTAGGTATCACCGAAACCAGGGATGTGAATGGGTAACTGGTTATACCATTACACAAGAACAGTTAAGTGGCCCGCTGCAGGCAGAGGGCTGCTTCAATCCTGCAGGCTCCCACCTGCAAGTGCTGGGAGTTGGCAGCCTCGTGCATGTGGTGGGGGAAAAGTGGTGACAGGAAGTCTGCTGGCATAGGCTAGGAACCAGCAGCCGAGCGTGGGGTTGGAATCAGCTGGGCTGGAGTAGCCTCTACCCACAGCACAGGGGTAGGCTGGAACAGCTCCCCCCACCCCGATTGGAACAGTTAACCAATTAACCCTGAATTTAACTGGTTAACTAATTAAATGGGATTTTACATCCCTAACCAAACAGCAAAGAAAGAAAAACAAAGATTTTACTAACTGGTAGACAGAACAGAACTAACTAATGAAGGCTGAAGTCATTACAAAAGACAATCAAATTTCTAACGAGTCCAAATTATCTGTTTAGGACCTCCATCTCAGTACATTTACTTGGAGTTTCACTTATAGGTGAAATGTGCTGGCACTTCCATTTCACTCAAATTTTCTTCATGTCTGATGCAACATGCTTTAAATGCCCCACTGCAGATACTTGTGCTGTTTTACTGGTAATTGACAGCATACCCATACACATCATTCATCCCAATCACTTTTTCCTGCCTCCTACACTTTACTGTCAGATTCAGTCCTGCAATAATCCACGCAAAGGGGCAAAATGACCTTGCTGGTGTAATCCATTACATCTCCCAGAGCTACAAATGACACAAACTACTGTATGCAGTGCTGTTGTAGCCATGTCAGCCCCACGATATTCAAGACACACGGTGGGTGAGGTAATAACTGTTACTAGACCAATTCTATGAGTAAGCAAGACCAAGTCATCACTCTATAGCTGGCCTCTTGATCCTCATCCTTAAAGGAAACCTGCAGAACACACCCAAAGAATTTGTTAGGGTATGTCTACACTACAACGTTAATTCGAACTAACTTAGTTTGAATTAGTTAATTTGAACTAAGCTAATTCAAACTAACGGATCCAGACTAAAAAACTAGTTCGAATTAGCATTTTGCTAATTCGAACTAGCATGTCCACATTAAGTGGACCTTGAACCGGGTTCAAGGATGGCTGGAAGCAGTGCCAGCAGGGCATCAGAGGAGGACTTAGAGCATGGAGATTCTGTCTCAGGCTAGCCGAGCGCTGTGCTTAAAGGGTCCTGACCCCCACCCCGGACAGACAGTTCTCAGGGGTGCCCCGCTTGCAAAGCAGTCCTGGCTTGGATTACCCAGAGTACCCACACTGGGCACATCACAGCACTCGGCCATCAGCCCGGCTGCACTTGCCACAGGCTGCTATCTGGGGAGAGGGAGCAATTGGGGGGCTGCAGGAGAGCTTCCACCCCCAGAAGCCCACAGAGCTAGCCCAGTCCTCCCCATCAAGGGCTTGTACCCCATTCCACACTCACCTCCTTCCACTTACCCCTCCCTAGCCCCCCTTCCTGATGTACAAAATAAAGGACAATTATGTTCAAAAATAGAATCTCTCTTTATTGAACAAAACTGGGGGAGACTGGAAAAAGGAGGTGGGAGAGGGGAAGAGAGAGGGTGGGAGAGGGGAGGGCAACTACAATGATGAGGGGTTTGGAAGAGGTCCGATATGAAGAGAGGCTAAAGAGACTGGGACTTTTCAGTTTAGAAAAGA